GGGTTACCATTATGGAAATTTCCTATTATGTTTTACACCAATCCTCAAATTCCATATCACAGATTATGTTCTTACTGCATTAATATAAATATTAACAAGACATAGTGCACAATAAAAATTAAGCTTTATTTAGGAACTTCGCGCACACTTCCCGACAGCCTGCCTGTTTCGCTCTGCTCGCTACTCGTAAGAAACTTCTCCTCTAGGGTTGCCACACTTATCGGAGGGCGCAAGGCGCGCTCCTTATCGCCATCACCACAAAAGAAAGTATGAAACCGTCCAAGTTGAAACGGCATTTAAACACACTCCATTCTGAGTACTCTGCTAAGCCAATTAGCGTTTTTACTGATAAGAAAAATGAATTGGTTGCTGCTCAAAAAAAAAAAAAAAAAAAAAATACACTCTTACCTGAAATAAAAACCTCACTTTGACATCTTTTGAAATTTCCAAATTAATAGCTGAAACTGGGTATCCTCATAGTGCTGGAGAAAAATTCATACTTCCTGCTTTCAAAATTGTTGCAAATAATTTATGCGGAATGAAGGAAAAAATGTTTATTTTCAGCGATACCATTGTCAAATAATGCAGTTAAACGGAGAATTGATGATTGCGCGAAACATGAGCAAGTGTTTTCCCTTGCAAATGGATGAAAGCACAGATATCGAGGATAGTACAAATCTAATGTGTTTTATTAAATGTATTGACAAAGACACTATATATATATATTTTGTAAAAGGCTACCGACAAGAACGACCTCAGATGAAATTTTTTAAGGCTACCAATAATTTTGTCACTGGTCACGGTATTGATTGGATGAAGTATGTTGGGCTAAGCAACGACGGACCACGTGCTATCCTAATTTGAAATAACTATGTGATGAAAAACATCATCCTTCGCACTAAGGTCAAAATATGTAAAACAAAATTTACTTTATTTACTTTAAGTTTTAACTGAAGATAATCAATTGTCTTTAATTACTTATGTTTTTGTTATATAATTATTTTGCAATTTTTCTGTATGAAATAAACAAACAAATAACTTGAATTTTGATTTTTATTAAAAAATAAAATTTGTTTATTAAATAAATGTTTTTTTTATAAGGTGGGTCGCGAAAAAGTTTAAAATCTCGTACCGGGCTGCGGTCCAAAAGTTTGGGAAACGCTGCCATAAGGCATGTGGGGAATATGTTGAGACGACGGATAGCAGGTCGCAATAGCACCAACATGCATTATTATAGGAATGGGCGTTAACGACACTGTTACCAGCTTGCCTCACCGTAGTCATGCATGCATTTCAGTTAGAAGGTATCATACTCGTTGTTAGAGTGTGTTTCAACTGTGCATTCTTCAGACCCATTTCGTATTTTGTGATTTGAAAAATGCACGTGTTTTGTATGTCTCTGCTTTATTGCTTGCTGTGTGGTGTAATGATGCAACAAGCTCTTGGATCAATTTCTCGCATATCCATTAAACAGTTTTTGTTTTATTCCGTGTTTTGGCTTTGTTGCTTCCTTTTTGAGGAACCTTGTATTATTATTATTGCTATAAAACATACTCTATGAGATGCGTTCTTAAAAAATAGCAAAGTAGAACTTTTAGGATGAGTGTTGCTGAAATCAAGGGTAAAAAAACTTATAGGTATTAAAAGCAATTATTTTCTTACATTTTATAATAATTCAGTTACAAGTTTTAAATATAACAAACCTCCCCTTCCCTTTCAGAAATACTCATAAATAGTTAAGTACATAGAAATCAGAAATCAGCAATAATATTTAACTATTAAAATAAAAGATGTCGTAATTTGAAATGAACCAAACAGAGCATAATTACAGAGTGACTATGATTTTTGATTTGATACCTAACAAGCTGAAAATTATCTCATATTTGAGAAAGTATTTATGAAAGATAATAATACAACAAACTAATTTTTTGTAATTGTTAACCGAATAAAATCGAATTTCTTAAATTTTCTTTCTAATGTACTTAACGAAAACTTGTGAAAATATTTCGTTCAATTGAAACTGTTTGAGCAGAATGTTCTGGGAAGTATGGCATTTAATTCCATTCAGAATGAAATTTTATTTAAAAACGTATTCCTTCGCATAATTAGGACTCGCAAATATTGTAGAAGAAAAGGAAAATATATACATTTATACTTACATTTAAGACTTAATTATAAAATGTTTACCTCCGATCATGTCAAAACCTGTTGATCTTAGCGACAAATCACTGAATGTTTTGTTCACCAAGAGGGATGCATCGCTGCTTCAATAGAGTGTATGGGAAAAATCAGTTCTAGGTTCCTTCTGTCTTTTTTACCTCCATGGCTACGATACCAGATCTGACACCTTTGGATTTATTCCTATATGGCCATCTGAAGGAATTGACCTAGTTACTACAGACAAGACCCAGTTACTGCAGAAAGTGATTTAGTTGTTCATCTTCATGCTGTGTGTACTTTGGCGGACACCATGCTGCTGCAACGTGCGCAGTCAGCCATTCCAAGGCGCACCATTCCAAGTATGCACGGCGGGCATTTTGAACATCTTCCAATATAAACATATGCAAATACCGTTGTTCTGCACCTGATATGACGTCATACTTTCCTTTCGTGTTTATCTCGAAAAATATGGGTCGTACGCGTACAGTTCTTTAGGCATTTTTTCTGTATTCCAAGCGAGGAGTACGGCTGTGCAGAGTTTGAGCTGTCTTGATGGGACACGTTGTATAATAAAAGGAATGTAAATGGAATGAACTAGAAAATCTGTAGTGGAAGTAAAAGGATACAGGAAGATGCAATTACTGCTGTTTTTTATCTTCAAAGAAGGGAGGAAATATGGTGATGTTATTAAGTATAAATTACATCTATTTTTTTAATTGAAAAATGTATACCTTTTTAATTTTGAATTGCTTATTTAATTATTTCTCTCACCGTTTCAATAAAACTTTCATTGAGTTTCAGAGCCCAAAACAAAGGTATTTTCTAAGTTGCTGTGCTGAAATCATGACTTTTTATTTGTTTCAATGTCGCAATATTCACCTAAATTTTAAGTTTACTATTTGAAGGTTTATTTTTAGTTAAGAAACAGATTTAGTCACAGTACTTAAAATTTCTTATATAGCGTGCGCTAAAGGCACACTTTTAAGATAAATTCTCGTTGAGGTTTGGCTTGATGTACATGTCCTGATAGAATGCACTAAGTTAATAAATTTTATGTTAACTCCCTTATAGGATAAAATGCTGATTTTTTCGGAAAAGCACTTTTTATTTTCAGTCTCGAATTTTTCATTTTCTTGTTTCCTCTTCGTTTTCAGTGCAGTTTAAAGTAAATGATTAACAATGAATATCTGTTAAGATGATGTTTTATGGACATGATCGAGTCTTTCTTATTTTAGAAGTTTTTTTGGAGTTTAAAACACTGATGAAGTGGAATGCTGTAGAAAGGAAAGATCAGGCGAGTAAAGAAAACAAAATTTTACGTATTGACAATTCTACGATGTTACTAACTATTAAAGCTGTAGATAAATTGATAAAAATACAAACTACATGCTATTATCAAAACGAAAACATCAAAAAGGACCTGAAAGGGAAAAAAGGCATGTGGTGTCTAATGACATGAAAACAAGCCTGCATTTCAGATGAATCTTGCTACCTCTGCGAATTTCACTGCTTGTTAACAAGAAGGAAAAAGACATGGAGTATCCAGTTAATACTAGCTGAGAGTACAAAAGAGAAAAAGTGATTTGCATTATTTTTGGAAATGGATATTTAATCATTATCTCTTTAACCTAATCGAACATTATGGTGTAATATAAATAATCTAAGTGTCTAGTCTCTGCTGGTACAAGATTTGCCTTCAAAGTAATATAACATGTTATAAGTAAATCTAATTACGAGTTAGCCAAAAAAGGTTTTTGTCATTCGTGACTGTCAAAAATAGACAGACATAGAAGCAAAATAAACAGCTTATTTATTTGTTTCATTTGCTACGACTGTCTTAATTTTGCCTCCTTTCAATGGCGGATTTTGTTTACTGGCAGTATTCTAAAACATTGCAAATTATCTTCTATTTCTCTACGTCTTTAGAAAACATTTCTATACCAATTTATTTGCTTTAGGAGGTTTATCACGTAATCATAGCAATATCTCTGTTTCTCTATCATCCATAAGTTTAAGTTTTTAAGCATGTATTATGGCCATAACCAAAAAACACAAAAATAATCCTGAAATTAGCCTGATGAATATTAGTATTTATCAAAATGCAAAACTTCTTCTATGGATAGTACTGCAACTGTTTGTATAAATGCTAATTTCTGACTTTATTTGTTGAAGTGCTTTCTAAATTTATATCCGTTGTAACACATTAAGCGTAAATAAATGGTCCTGCTTTTACTGATGTATGTTAATCGATCATTACTCAAATCTTCCTTTATTTATTGATAAAGGTAAATTTTTGAACCACTGTTGAACGTAATACTCGAAGCTAGTTATAGTAACTAGTTTTCGGGAAAACGCGACGCAGTTAGTTATTTTAGAATGCACTTGTGTTACAAATTACGCGTGAGGTCAGACTACGTATGTTCACACCCACGGAGCAACAAAGACATACTGAAAAGCGCTGCGTCGCTGTTTTCGAGACAAATGAACGTAGCACTTTTGCTCCACGTAGCAGTCAAACGGTTAAAATCCCCACACCAGAAGTTTTCCTCTTTGTTGTTGAAGATATCGTTACTTTATTACTTTAGATTACTCTCAGTACTTACGCCAATAATTACGATAAATTTTATCCACTTATGATTCGTTTAAAATTTTTGTACATGCATCTACACTTTTCAATGTTAAGTGCTTGAAATTTTGTGGACCCCACAATGTATTTTTTTCATTTTCCCGATAGGCCTTCCTATTTTCCCCTCGAAATTTCTTTATGTATTATTAGTAAATATTTGAAAATTAACCACTTAGCAATCGGTGATACTTCTGAGCAGCTTAAGACTTATTACCTGTGTTATAAATGTTGCATTCGTCATTTGGTTTGATGCAAGTGCATACGCCGTTTTCACAAATACTGAATGGATCTCGAGCTTGGCATTCTTCAGAATTTCGACAGCTTTTCCCCAAAGAAATTGGATCCGCTAAATTTTCTGTAAATGTCAAAATGTAAAAATCATGGAAATTAATGAATAATATTTGCATTTCAAAGTAAAAAAAAATCTACAATTAAGTAATCAGACGAATGAGAAGTTTATTTAGAAAGATTTAGGAAAACGTATTTAAAGAGAGATATTGGTTTAAATGTTGGCAAGAAGAATATTACAGGTATAGTATCTGTAGATCAGATATTCTAAACTATTGAGAGTCCCTTAAACAGGGACTTTCTTCCTTTCAGATTTTCCGAAAATTATTCTTATAACATTATGCATCTACACTTGTTGCAGTTTTCCTCTGAATGTATATGATAATAAAAGCTTTTATGCATAGTAAAAGCGTATAAAATTGCAAATAATTCACAATAAAGGCAAGTAAATTATATTAAAAGAAAATTATATTAAAAGTTTGCGACAGAATATCATGTTTCGATCACTCTAACATATTTGGTAACAAGGCCTGAAGAACTTTTAGTTTACAGTTCTGAAACGAAAATGTTTAGCTTGACGCAGGGCCGGCGCGGGGCTTTTCGTCGCTCGGTGCAATTCCACCGGCCCTGCTTGCGTAATGGCAAACTGCACATTCAGTTGATCAATGTTAAACGAATTTCGCATACTGCGCATGCCCAGAAGGGAATTTGGCATAATTACAATTTTGGTAAAATTTTAAAAGAAAATAGATATGGTGTGTGGTTGATATTCTGTTATCTGGGCGCAAACAGTTCGGGGTTTTAAAACTTGTTAGGTTGTAAGTTCCTTTATTACTTAGAGGGTAACTATCGATTGTAAACTACTCAAATTTTCGTTTAAATGACAAAACAGGAAACATTACAGGATATATAGCTGAATCTTATGAATTGTGAGGAATAAAAGCAATTGCGTATATAAATAACTATATGTTCCATTCGTATATACTTTAACAAATTAAAGAATAACTCCAGTTTAAATTACTGAATTAAAGTCAAGGAAATTATTATAAATAACTATTAAATATGACGTTTATGAACAAAATAAACCACAAAATGAAATGAAAAAGAAGCAAATGCATTAAGCACAAATAAATTTCGGTAGTATTGTAAGTGTAAATAGTCGATAAGACCTACATGATGAACAAGCTTGTGTAATTGTTGCTTATGCTTAGTCGCCAGTATTTCCTGCCACGCCAACGGTACACCACTGAGCATGCGCAGTAAACGAAATTCGTTAACATTGATCAACCCAATGTGCGGTTTGTCATTACGCGCCCTGCTTTGACGTACATGAGGAGTATAAAAAAAAATTCCTGGATTAGCTCTGTGGCGCATCGGCAAATGGTAGAAGGTTTACGCTGACAGCTATTGTGACTTGATAAAACGGTGTGCTAAAAGTCATCACTGCTTTAACATCGGGAGATGTTACAGTGCTTTACGATCATCCGTGCTTGGTAGTCTTTGATACATCATAGACGGAGAGCTGGAACACGAGCTAACGGAAAATTTTGCATTGAACTGCGCATATCGGCCATACAGGCACTGATTATGCTTCGAAATGCTACGGCGATGAGGCAATGAGGCTAATTCACAGCTTCGCTAATGAGGCTAATTCACACATGAAGACGACGAGGCATCTGAAAGACCTACGAGCATCAGCCCTGAGAATGCGGGGTGACATTTGGAACTTGTAACATGCAGATCATCGAATGATGATCAGTGACCCTGCAGACAATTATGGTGTATCGAACAGTTCTGTACAGATAGTCCCCTTACTGGAGCAGCATGTCGCTGCTAAGTTTGTCCAGTGTGCTAATTCCTGATAAAAAGGCACATCAAGGTAATATGCTAAAATTTGCTCGAGAATAATCAATCCTTCAGGTCTAAATCATCACCGTTAGCGAGATCTAGTGCGAATCGCAAAAGATTGTGCCCTAACTTCCACAAAATAGCTTCCAGCCTGCATTCTAAGGATTGTAAGATCGCTGGGACCGAAGCACCGCTCCGCAAGTCAACTATTTCGAAGAAGGTGACGTACAAACTCGCGTAAGTAATGCACCTTTGTTTTGGTTAACAGCCCTGGGAAATTTTTTATATACCCTTGTTTTCCTTTTAAGGCTACTGGTCCGTCGGCTACGGAGTCGCAGAAAAATTGGTGAATCAGTGTGTTTTTATATCTTTCTTATTAGATAATGGAATTTAAACGCTTAAGACTAAAAAGCGTGTAGCTAAAGCTAAGTTGAGTAAACTGAAAGAGAAAATTACAGTGACTTACGATTCTGCTGATGTTGATCAGTTAGAACTTTTTAAATCTAGATTAAATAATGTAATGACCGAACTTTCGGATATTTTAGTAACATATTTGTAGTGTGTGAAAAAAAAGATATTAATGTCTTTATAGAAGAAGCAGCAGGTCATATAAGATACTGTTGATGAGAGTTAATTTTAATGCTAACCAGAGTTAAGAATGCTAAAGATAAGACATTAGTGTGGAAATTAAATCTTGTGGAAATAGCGAGTATAAGCTTACCTAAGCTAACTCTTCCTGTATTTAGTGGCAAGTGCTGAAGAATGGTTATCATTTTTTAGATTTATTTAAAACGGAGATAGTGGATAATGACCGTTTATCAGGTGCACAAAACCTACAATATTTAAAGTGTTCTTTAGAGTTCTTTAAAAGGAGATGCTTTGCGGATTGTTCAAGCTTTAACTATTTGTGACTAGGAATTTCGAAATAGCGTGGCATTTATTGTGTCAAAGATTTTCACATAAGAGAGAATTACTTTCATCGTATTTAAAGAAAAAGAAAAATTAAGAAAATCTTGTATTTATCAAATTTACAAGCTGAAATTCCTAGTCAGATATTAGCGTTAGTAGACACTGTAAGAGAATGTGTATGTTTGTTTGAAAATCTAGGATTCAATGTGGAGCAATTCGCGGATACTATTTTAATGTTAATAGTACAGTTTAAATTGTATTCTTCGACGAGAGGATGGTGGGAAAGAACATTAAAGAGTGAGGAAATACCAACACTTAATAATCTGCTAGAGTTCTTGAAATCTCATGCCAGAACCTTGCAAGCAGGTAAAAACCAAGGTGTTAAAAAAGCAAGGGTGTTAAAAAAACAAAAAGTTACAAAAGACAAATTAAACTTCATTGGCTTCAGAGATTCGCGCGCAGTGTACGTATTGTAAAGTCGGTCATTCAGTTTTTAAATGTAATAAGTTTTTAATCTGAATGTTCAGGAACGCGTTAATTTTGTCAAGAGAAATAATGTTTGTTTTAATTTTTTGGTTTCAAATCATAAAGCTTTCGAGTGTAGAAGTACACATAAATGTAAAAAGTTCTTTAAAAATCATCACACACTACTGCATTTCGAAAGAGTTCAAAATGAACCAAAGGCACGTAAAGGAGTTACGAACAGTTCGAATGAATTATCAGTGACGGCTAAGCCATTTTTCCCTGAACCAGAACCTCGCGCTCAAGCGGCTGGGTCAGAGGAGAATATCGCAAGTTCTAGTCCAGTAATTAAATCTTGTGTTTCAGACTTTAATTTTCAGCGTGAAGTTTTATTATGTACGGCTGTTATTAAAGTGTTAGATTCATCGGGTGAATACCAATTGCGTAGAGCCCTCCTTAGAACCCTCCTTGACCCTGGCAGTCAAGCAAGCCTGATTTCAGAAGATTGTGTACAAAGGCTAGGGTTAGCAAGAAGAAGAAATGCCAAACAAAGTTTTTATTTCATGTTTAGGGTCTTTGGATACGAAAACTAATGAGAATTACGGAAATAAACTTCGTTCCCGCATTTTCCGGCGAAAGTGTCATTTAAAACACCAGTATTTATCATCAATAAGAATTATTGTAACCTTTGCCGCATTTTAACATTGGATAAGAAGTACGTTGAGGAATATAATGATTTAATGTTAGCAGATCCCAGCATTTTACAAAAGTGGGCCTGTTGATATACTTTTAGGCGTAGATATTGCTTTACCATCTTTTGAAGGGGGGAAATAATTAAATGCGAAGAAAGGTAAACCGGTAGCTTCTCGTTCTGAACTAGGATGGATTATTTCAGGTAGTGTGAATAATTCAACAGAAATTAATCCTACTATCTATGTGAATAATATACAAGTGGAAACTGATCAGATGCTGTCTGACTTTTGGGGAAATTGGATGCTGTACCTACGTTTGACAATGCTTACTAAATCGGAGAGAGCATGTTAAGTTAAGACTACTTCAAATCTACATATACGAGAGAGGAAAGTGGGGTATATACTGTAAAATAACCATTTCACTCTCCGCCTTCTCAGCTTGGAGATTCTAGACAATTAGCTATGCGTAGATTCCAATCTTTAGAAAATTCTTTTCTAAAAAGGCCTCAGATATATGAACAGTATAAGGATTTCATGAAGGAATACCTTGAGCTGAGACATATGGAGGGAGTGCCTGAAGGAGAGATTCTTATTGACTCAACGTATTACATACCTCACCATGCCGTATTAAAGGAATCAAGTACTACGACTAAACTGAGAGTTGTTTTCGATGCTTCAGCTAAAACGACATCGGGTCTTTCATTAAATGATATTTTGATGGTTGGGCCAAGAGTTCAGCAAGAGCTTTTTCCAATTCTTCTACGATTTAGAACTCACAAAATTGCACTATGTGCCGATGTAGAGAAGATGTTCAGACAAATTCGTGTCCACCCAGAAGATACAAATTGGCAACGAATGTTTTGGAGGGATAGTCCTAGTGAGCCCTTGAGTATATTTAGATTAGTGACAGTTACATATGGGACTGCCTGTGCGCCATAGTTGTCTACTAGAGTAATGAAACAACTTGCATTAGATGAACAAGTGCGATTCCCTTTAGCATCAAAAATTGCCCTTCATGATTTTTATGTTGATGATTTGCTTTCAGGGGCACAAAGTGAAGAGGAAGCGAATGTTCTAGTTCAGCAGTTGAATGAAATGATTAAAAGGGGTGGATTCCGCTTAAGGAAGTGGATTTCAAACAGTTCAGCTATTTTAGAGAATATTCCCGAGTGCTTACGAGAACCCAGTATTCCTCTTGAAATAACCAGTGACAAGAAAGTAAAGGTATTGGGAATTAATTGGAACAACTCTAGTGATACATTTCGTTTTTCGGTATGCAATAAGTGATAAAGAATTTACTAAGAGGACTATTTTATCAGAGGTAGCCAAAATCTTTGATCCAATGTGATGGTTAGCGCCAACAATAATATACGCGAAAATATTATTACAAGAAGTTGTGGAAACTTACAGCTGGGTTGGGATGAAACTCGTTGACTAGAGAATAAGTAGAAAATGGAAGCGTTTCTATCTAGAATTGCCCTTACTTTACTGCCTCAAGCTTACAATTTCCGAGGTATGTCTTGAGTCCGAAGAGCAGTAGTTATAGAAATCCATGGCTTTCTGCGACGCTTCAGAAAAGGCTTATTGTTTATTGTGCAGTCATCTATCTCCGAACAATCAACCTTGATTCGTCAGTCAAAGTCAAGCCTTCTGACATCGAAAACCAGAGTAGCGCCCTTTAAAAACCCAGTCTCTTCCGAGACTAGAGTTGTGTGCCTGCGTTACTTTTAACCAACCTCTTACATGCAGTATTATTCGTGCATAGAACTGCCTATTAACAATATTTACGCATAGACCGACTCGCGGGTTACATTGGCATGGGTTTCGTCCGAACCTTCGCCGTTGGCTACCTTTTGTGGCAAATCGAGTTGCAAAAATCCAGGAAGCTGTTCCAGGTATTCAATGGAATTATGTTGCTGGGAAAGAGAATCCTGCAGACTGTGGGACCAGAGGTTTTATTCCATCAGATTTCTTACAATGTGAGTTATGGATGAAGAGACCGCAGTGGTTAAACGAATCCCTAATTCATGTACAGCAAAATTCAAGTGTAGAATTAGAGAGTGAGGTTATGTTGAAGGAATTGAAAAAGAGTTTCAGTTCAAATGTTTCCGAATTTGAAGAGCCTAGTGTGTTTTCAAGATTTTCATCATGGTTAAAGTTTAGTCGATGTCGAGTGTTTAGCGTGGTGTTTAAGATTCAGAAATAATTGTAGTAAGTTACCTACAGAGCGTATAAAGGGTTATTTATCTACTGAAGAATTCTGTGAAGTTACTTCTATGATTGTTAGGATTGTACAAAGAGCCGAATTTCCAGAAGAATTATTCTGTTTAGACTCTGGTAAACCCTTGAAGACATCAAGTAAATTACTGTCTTTAAGTCCTTTCTTGAATTCCGCGGAAGTAATGCGTGTAGGCGGAAGGATCAGAAACTCTACAGTTTCAAATAATCAGAAACATCCTATGATTTTACCTAAGAATCACAATATTAATTATTAAGCATTATCACGTTTAATTATTAAGCATTATCATGACACGTATCTTCACGCAGGTACGCAGCTACTCACTTCTGTCATATGACATAGATTTTGGATTGTGAATGCTAGAGATATTATAAGAAAGTGTATAAGCCAATGTGTTACCTGCCGTAGAGTTAGAGCGCAAACTGCAACTCAGCTAATGGCAGATTTACCCACTTCAAGAGTTACTCAAAGTAGAGCTTTCTCGTGTAGGGATTGATTTAGCAGGACCATTTAACGTTAAATATCGTTCTGGTAGAGGAGTCAAAATCTTTAAGTGTTACGTATGTCTATTTATTTGTTTTACTACAAGAGCAATACACTTAGAATTAGTTGGAGATCTATCAACAAAATCATTCCTCGCGACACTTAAGCGGTTTATAGCTCGTAGAGGCAAACCGTGTGAAATTCACAGTGATTGTGCAACGAATTTTATAGGAGCTAATAAAGAATTAAGGAAAGCCTTTTCTATTGTTCAACGTGATGAACAGCTACAGGGTTATATTTCTTCAGAAAATATTAAATGGTTATTTAATCCTCCCTCTGCCCCTCATTTTGGAGGGCTTTGGGAAGCGGGTATCAAGTCTATGAAACATCACTTAAAAAGATGTTTAGGAACACTTACTTTAACATAAGAGGAATTTTTGACATTAATAACCCAAATTGAATCCTGTCTTAATTATAGGCCTTTGGTACCAGCTTAAAGTGATTGTAGCGACTTGGAGGCGATAACACCAAGACACTTTTTAACCGGAGCGGCTTTAAGCGCTATTCCAGAATCTAACCAAATTCAAGAAACCATGAGCTGCAGTGATCGTTGGAGGAACGTGCAAAGGTTATTTCAACATTTCTGGAAGAGATGGAGCAGTGAGTATTTATCTAGGTTGCAGCAGAGACCCAAGTGGTGCAAGTTGCAACAAGATCTGAGGGTTGGTGATATGGTTCTTATTAAGAATGAAAATATACCTCCGCTACGTTGGAAATTAAGTAGAATTACTAAAGTGTATCCTGGTCTTGATGAGAAAGTTCGGGTGGTGAGTTTACGCACTTCCAATGGTGAAATAAAACGACCTATAGCAAAGCTATGTGCTTTACCATTTAATTCCTGATTTAGAGACTTTAATTTTTATTTTCAGGTTTATGCAGTTCAACAGTTTAAATTTATTGTTTGAACCCCCTTGGGACTTCAAGGCTGGGGGTATGTTTGATGTTATGCAAATTGTATTTCTTTCTTTGTACCGAGGAGCGGCGCAGACGCAAATTTGTTAGGTTCTTCTGAGTTTGTGTGGTAAGCCGCTATCGAAGTCGGAGTTTGCAGTGTGGTCTTCGCCGTTCCTCAACCAACTTACTGTTTGAAAGCCAATAAAGAAGTTTCGGTCAACATTATGACTCTGAGGTTTCTTGGGTTCTATACTGAAGTAATATCAAGTCAATTTACAGTCCACTATTTTTAAACAACGGAACGTACAGCTACTTTAATTGCAATGCTTGTAAAAGCAATCGAAATATTCTACATTATATTCACAGTTAGATATATTTCTTGATGTCTTATTATGTATTATTATCTGAGCAATGGCTTTAAATCAGAAGAATAAGTAGACATGCACATTTGTACCTTAAATATTGTTTTATCGGAATTAAAATTTCCAAAGAAAAACAGTATCAAATATTTTAATAAAAAATACAACTAAATTTTTTAAGAATCGTAATGCAATACTATTACCTATTTGTAATATGGGTTGACATTTCATTTTATTCGAAGTCGGTTCAAATCCAGGCTTGCATTCGCAGTACGCTGTGTCTCCCGATCGCTGGCAATAAGAATCGGGAGTAACTTCCTCACAATCTTGGTGCTTCTCACACTCGCCACCTAAATCTAAATGTGCGCAAGCAGTTAACATGTTAATTTTACAATAACATAAAAAGTGTAAATAATTTTTATCATTTGAAAATAAGTAATAGCTAGTAAGATATAAGAAATGAAATTCGTAGAAGATTAAATACGAACGAGAGATAAATCTTTACCCAAAAGTTGCGAATAAACAGTTTTGCTGTATTAACATAATACTCACTTTCAAACTCGCTCAGCTTGTATCACCTTTATTAACAGGATAGTTATGCACAAAAATACTTCTGAAATTTAAACTCGCATAATTTTTTTGCATATGGTCTCACAGTTTACCTGGAAGTTTTCTGATCTTTCCTTACTAATATATATATATATATAATATTCTTTTCCGTGTAAATTTTTCAAGTACACCCTTTTTATAATTGCTAATTTTCTACAAATTTATCTGGTGAGTAAAGATTTATAATTTTAAAATTAGTAATCTTTTTTAATTTTGTTGACGTTTCTGCTTAGTTTTAATGTGCACCAAGAGTAGTTTTCAAGTGACATCCTTTTGGTGTTGATTAAATTTATAACAAAAGATTATTTAAAAAAATTTTTTTATTAATTTACTTTGGTTTTATTTTAAGCATTTTTGTTTCTAATATCTTATAATCAAGAAGGTGTACTTTCCAAGAAAGAGATTCTCACCAAAACAATTATAATGTATCCAAAACTAATTGCTACGGATTCTTATTAAAAATGTTAACATATTGGCTTTAGACAGAGGAAGCATAAGAAATGCAGCTGGAGCCTATAGAATCAATTTTTGCTCACCAAGAAATTTTGTTTAGAGTTTTACTGTCATACTTAATATAAATCTGTAAGAAAATTTCTCATTCCCCGTGTGTGCTCCCCGTGTAAATGGTTAATACGCCCAACTACCATTGGAAGACCGCAGTTTGAATCCTAGCAAGAGCACAGCAGCTTTTTCACATCTTCCGACTCCAGAAATATCTAAAAATCTTTAAAAAAACCACTTTCAAAGAAAGTGTATTCTCCTTATGAATATTACGAAACCGATAATATCGAATTTAGAAAAGTTTTTCTTATGTAACTGCGTTTAATTTTATGAATGTAATGAACAAAAAGTAGTAAATATCTTATAGTTTATCTTAGTGATACAAAGAAAATTAGGTATACGGAAAAAGTACTTACGAGGTAAACATTTTCCTTCATCTGTCACCAGATACCCTAAAGGACACTTGCACTTTCCGTAAACGCGAGGAATAATGTATTTACAATAGCTGTAACTACTTGCCATGTGGCACTGCCGGTCATTTAGACAGTAATCATCTAATTTTGCGGCTATAAAAGAGAAATAAATATTTTAAAAAATTATGCCACAGAAAATAAGATCATTTGATTAATTGTGAGGTCTAGTGCCGGTTCTGGGAAAAAATGTAAAGTTCAGTTTAAGGCTGCAAAAATAAATCAAGGGTTACACTTTTAATATATAATGAAACTGATAGCTTTAAGAAAGAATGTTTCTAGCATTTTACTATAATTTCATGAAATCTATTTCAATTTTAAAATGCCTCATATCATAATATTAAATGCTTTCTATAAACAAATTAGTTTTTTATTAAAGGAAAACAGTTACATATCATGTATAGGGAAAGTTAATGCTTGCTTCGATTACTTGGCGGAACAAAATCACTGACGAGCGTAATTTTTTTAGATCATTTCTTGAAAATAATATTATTTATATTTATAAATTCAGGTGATCAAAAAGTCTGAAAGAAAGGGTTGGCGGAAGAAACAAACAGAAATCGAGAGGAAGAGAAACACAGAGAGAGAGAGAGAAAGGGAAACAGGGTAAGATACGGGGGAAAAAGACTCGATGGTTCTGAGGATTTCACATACAAAGGAATTAGGTTCTTCGAAACTTCCATCAGACAGCGTCTCAGTGATAGGGGGTGAGGGGAATCAATCTTCAAATGTACAATAATACGTTATGAAACAAGTTACTGTTCATAATGCTTATCAGGCTGCTTCCTTTCTGGTTATTTATAGTGCTTGAAAGTATAATTGTTGTAATTCCTATCGTCTTACGAAATTCTTGCTGGATTTTGTTTTAATAAAGCAAAGGCATATTAATAGATTTGTCATGGAAAATTACATAAAGTATTTGCAAAATAAGTTATTGTGTCAGTGATAAAGTAAATAAGAGTAAATGATGTATTAAACAAGGTAATAGATAAAGAACCTGTAGTCAATAGTTAATGCTGAATTATGTCATACAAATGTTTTTATTAAAAACAACAATATGCATGAACAGCAACTTTCTTTTTCCTTTTAGTTGCTGTAAAAGTATATGTAATTTTTACTTACGTGGAAGACACTTATCCCTTCGAAGTGGAATATGGTCCGGCTCACAATCACATAATCCGTTCACGCAGTGACTGTTGGAAACTTTCATTCGGCACTGGCTGTCTAAAATACAACCAAATCCTAGTAAAGATGCTAGAATGGGAGGAAAAGGGTACTTTAGTAACTAGTTCCAGCATCTACATCTATGATCGTGTTCTCTAAATACAAAATCTAAATAATTTTTTTAATCGAATAATTAATTTTAATTCTTTCAGTAGTATAACTGCTTTTATCAAAATTGTTTTCCTCTGTACTTGGCTTGTTTAGGAATTATTCCAAAAATGTGAAAGTCATGGAAACAAACTGCAATGCATAAAGTTAGTTAATGAAAGCGGTTTAAACAACAATTCATGACGTATTCTAAACCTCCTTTGGCCTAAGTGGATTTAAAAAGAAAATGTTTTATTCTTCGCTAAAACTGCATTACTTCCTTTTAGAATAATTCCCTGCTTTGCAATATTTTGTTTTCATTTATTTTAAAGGAAATACAGAGTTGGATAGTTTCATTTTCCTTCTTTTTCTTTTCTTTTTTTTTTAATCAAATGTTTTCTTTCCATTTTACAACTCAGGATGTAAAAATCGTTATCATTTGCTTTCGCTTTTATGTAAAACGTAGTAATACATATGTTGTAATCCATTTAGTAAGTTCAAATTCGTGTTTTAAAGTTAGCAAAGTAGGTTAGAAAAACTGATTTAATGTGTATTCTTCATCCATGACTCCTCCGGAAGAGCTGAGTCGGGCATTACGGCATTATGCTGCATTCCGGCAGTGCAATTCTTGGGACGTTCACCACCTTTAGTGTTTCGGGTATTAAACACAGTTACAAATAAGCTTTTACTTATGTGTAATCGACTGAACTAACTGAAAAAAAAAAAAAAAAAAGAAAAGACAATATCAATTATAAGACGTTTCACATAAAAATTTATGCATATAATATTTAAAAACAGACGATAGGTAATGATCGTATAGATTACCAGTAAAGAGAAATTAACGAGAGTAAAAGTAATGTTTGTTGTTTACAAGCAAATATTTAAGCGCTTTACACTGCAAAGTCATAATCAGAAGGATTTTGTGGAAAAGAAGACTTTCATTTTGGAAGCTTCCATGCTAAATGCGTACAATGCTTTTGAATATTAATTAGCTCATAACAAAGTGAGTAAAACAGGTAAATGCTTTACTTAAGAAAAGGGAAGAATTCTGGAATTGTTTACGTTCTGCATCATTTTAAACGTAGCCGTTAGTCTCTCATTAGAATAAAAGAACTTTCGGACGTATCAAATATTAAGAAGAATAGTGAAGAGACTATTTAATAAGTCTGGATAAGAGAAGGCTTCTAAACAACTCGACTATGGGAATCTAAAAGATAATGAAAGACCAATTAGAACTGGTACAGATGCAGGCTTATGCCCTCTCATTACGGCATTTTCGCTTATATAAACTCTGTTCCAAGAGAAGAAACCAAAAGCGGTATTTATATAATCCGCATTCCCAAGCAGCGAATTTTATAAACAAAAAAGGGCCTTGAAATAAAGCGTCAAGATATTTGGAAAACAAGTGACTTCTTGGCTATCTGAACAAATTTTAATTTGTGGTCGTTCTTGAAATTCGGACTCCTATCCAGGGCAAGGTGCTAACTAGAAATGCTCGCCTTTATCTGGACTCTTAAAAGTATTGTAAATAAATGCATAATAAATGTTTAATTGCCAGCCTGGCATTCCCTTTTTTTAGATTGCCTGTCATCTCTGTCCCTTCAGCACAGATTCCTAAGCTATTTGAGATATGGGCCTTTATAAGAGAGAATTTGTTTTATATAGAAATGTGGAATAATTTTTGGGGGTGAGCCCAAGAAAGTGGGAGTCATAAGCTCTGGCTTACATAGCTTATACGCAAAACCGGCACTGCTTCATCGCATATCACCCAGGTAGGGTTTACTAGTTTTTTTTTTTAATTTCTGGTTCACTATTTTCGGTTGTAATTTTTCCAAGAACTTTTTAAAATCTTGCCCTTTCCTTGGTAGAAATATATGTATTTCAACAGAAACTGTTACTAAACCCTTTATCCTTGGTAATATCTATAGTTTTCTTTGTTATATACACCAGTAACAAAAGGAATGTCCGTTCGTTTTTGTTACTCCTGACGAACAAAAATTTGATTTGCCCCAAAACTTGAGATTTCACGCGCTTCAACTGATATCAAGCATAAACTTAGCATTTTTCTCCTGTTCATCGCCTCTTTCTGTTCTTCGATATTCGTGCTAATACACTTACTAAAAGATATACCCAAAGAATTAGATAAAATCATTTAATTAATATCATCTAATCTAAATAATTTTTTAAATTTAAATTTTAAAATTGAAGTATTGTTATTATTTTATCTTCATTTACGGCAATGCAAAAGAAGCTTTTGGAAATGCTGATTCATGAAGTCAGGCACATGTCTTGCACTTATCTCTTCCAGCAAGTTCAAGTTCACTGAAAGTGATTTAAGCGAAGAGCTGAGAATGTTTCATGATAGATTAGAATGCATTCATTCTAAGAGTAGTTGCTCTTAAAGAAGCTTCAGTCTTTCCAAATTTCTTATTGGATTTTAACTTTTCTTAACATTAGGAAGCTTCCTATTCCTTCACGGAGTTAAAACAGATCCAAAATTTCCGTTTCGTAAAAGTGTGCTATAAATTCCTTTTTCTCTATTGCGAAGGATTAAAAATTACTTATAATTTATGTCCAGGAGAAATTAAGTTAGATTTCTAAAGACTGTTACTATTAACTTTTCTCACTGAATTTCAGCTTCTCTCAAATTTGTCATTTTGATGTAATTTTACAGTTAATGTTGCTTTTGAAAATATATTTCAGAGCAAAATTGAAAAAAAATGTTATTTTTCATTCATTTTGAGCTAAATAACGAAATATAAGAGAATCTGTAAGGGACAAACAATTAAAAATTATGTAGTAAAATGCATAAAATTATTTTACTGTCAAAGGAATTAGATCACTCAGTATTCTAGCAATTTTGAAATCATAGATAAAACATGGCATTATCTGTAAGAAAGTGATAACTGTCCTGATACTTTTTAGGTTACTTCTACAACAGTCAGAATTTTTACCCAGAATTTGGACAAAAAAATTTCCTTTTAACTGAAGTGGTGTTTAAATTATCTTATTAACATATCATAAACAAATTGTACTCAAGTTTTCAATTTCTTTTGAATATTCACACGTCTTTTTACTACTGGGATCTAAAGCACAGATTTCTTCATTGCGACCCAGAAGTTGTAACAATAAGATCGTTGATTTTATTTCCAGTCTTGATACCCAGATTCCCACTCTTCAAATTCATTAAATTTATGTTCTTTGAATTTATTTATGTTTCTTCCAAAATGGGATGAACCCTAGATCCTTAATCTGCTTAATCTTCTCTCAGATACTGAAGGATTTATTTTATCTGCGGGATATTTATTTCCTAATTCCCCCCCCCCTCTCCCAGTGCAAGCACATAACCAAAACACTAGACTATGAAGAATTGAGTTATTTTCTTTACTCTTGTATATGATCATGCAGTGCTTAAATTGCACTGGAGCCCACCGGAGACCGGCTCCGGTACTTCTCAATTTTTAAGATAAATTACAATTCTAGCCGGAGCGCACCAGAGCCCTAAAAAGAATGAGCTCCGGTAGTTCTTTTTATAAAACTGAACCACAATTTCAAGGGAAAAAAATTAGAATTCGTAAGTTTTAGTTGAACAATAAGCAGACTTTGCAATACTTCTAGAATACGATATTTTCCCTAGAAATACGAACTCATGAGAACATGAGACGTTCAAGTAAAGTCCCCTCACTCATATACGGAAACCTTACCCTTTAAGAAGGGCGATAAATTTGGGGGCGTTTGTTTAGGAACGCGTAAATTTCTCGCCATGCCATCGTATTTAGTGTATTGTTATCCTCTATGGATAACAATACACTAGATACAGTTATTTATCCTTTATTGTGTTCTTAAAAAAATTTAAAAAAAATTGAATTCTTAAATGTGCGTTAAGTGACAGCGAGTACAATAAGAGTGAAATACTGAGATAAACTGCTCAAGCACGTACTATATATCGTCTTCCCATATAGTATCCACTAATGTAACCAGATACAGGGGAGGGCGAAAAGCGTAACCAGCAACTTTAGATTCATCCTTAGGAGTCAGATTCAGGACTCATTCACCCCTGACACAAACCCCTGACACTATAATTATATCACCAGAGAGCCGCGGTCAAAGAAAACGTGCTCTCTCACCAAGATTCCCCCCATTTTTTACATCCACCCACTCATACGCTTATGCCTTCATTCTGTTTCCCCCTGTTTTTAGATTATCAGAATTTTCATCAGCTATAAGTATATTTCATTTTTGTGATGATAAAAGAACTTCCCCCCCCCCTACGATCAGATCTTAAATTAGGCCGGAGCACGGTGCTTCTTAGTTTTTGTAATAAATCATAATTCTAGCTGGAGCGCACCGGAGCCCTAAATAAGAAGGCTGCGGAACTTCTTTTATGTAATTGGATAACAATTTCAGTAGAAATTTTATCTCAAATATTTTGTTTTTAGCAATAAAATTATATTAAAAATCGCTCATTAAATTTTAATTTATCTCTTTACATTTTAATTAATTTTAATTATTTAATTATTTCAATAAATAATAATTAATGGTCTAATAGTTAAAAATTAAATTATAATTAGTTAATTATATAATAATTATTGATTAAATAACAATGGATAAACATTAATTAAATAGCTATTGATTAATTTGATAATAATTAACTATTTAATTTTAAAATTATTAATAAGTTTAATTGTCATTTAATTATTTATTTACTCTTGTTCCTCTTTGCTGACGGTCTTCCATAGGGCTTCGGCACTTCTAATTTTAGAAATTAAGCCCTGTGATCATGTGAGCCTCACTTTATTGTTGCGCAAATTGTGTGAAATCTGATGAATATTCTTTGGGAAGATTTATCTTAATTTTTTTAAATATTATAATGAACGGCAATAGCATGCTTTGGTGTTTAGCTTTAACAGCCTTAAAAACCTATCTCTTCTTCAATTAATAAG